TTGGAAAACTCTGACCCTCTACACACACACACATCCCTCCCTCCCTCCTACTTATCTTTCTTCTCTGTCCCTCCCTTACTTTTTTCGTCTCTCCATCCCTCCCTCATTCCCCACTTGACCCACTTTGGACGGAGCCCATAACCGCACGAGAACAAGTTCCACCAAAGATCCCGCCCATCTCCCTGAGCACTGCAAGTTGTCCTGTGCTCCGCAGGCTCGGTGTCTGGCCTCGTAAAACGCCCTTAGGATGTTTTACTTCTTAACTTAGAATATGATAATGCGCCGTAGGAGCCCCGCTGCTGTGTGGGTGAGCGTGGCGGCGCTACACGTGACAATATCTACGAACTATCCAGTCCTTGCACTCTTAAAATGTGACAGTTGTGCCGGTATAGAATGGTGTCAGGAGCGTCGAGTATTATTACGGCAGAGACTATGTGTAAGCGTAATTACTAGTTAATTGTACAACACCAGTCGTCACGGTGACTGGGCGTTGCTGTGTCAGCCACGGCACTGACACACTGTGAAGGTCACTAACCAACAGTGACTTCACCTCTATAGTAAGTAGTTATCCTCCTCGCCTGGTCCTCGCTGCTCGAGCATGGGGTAGTAGTGGGCGGTGATCCCCGTCACAACTGGTGGTGATCATCTCCTATTTGTCTACCTTAGAGATCACCTATCGTGACGGCTCACCACCTGCAAGGACACCATCTGCAGGTCACCATCTAAGAAAGACAACAATGACAAGACTTGAGGAACAAAAGGCTGTAGGCAGCCCGGACCACATATTGGGGTGTTTACTCCTACAGAGCCACCGAGGGAGGACGCCATGACTTCCTCGTCTGGCTACACAGTTTCATCCAAACTCATCAACCCAAGTATTGGATACAAACGATAACCATCACGGAGAGAAGGGAAGACGATGGGGGACAACAAGTGTTGAAGGCCTACGGGAGGGCGTTGGCAGGGTAATAGCAGGGTGTCTGAAGGTGTATCGGAGAAGGGGAGGGTACGTGAGGTTGAAGAGTGGACGGGTGGGGGGTAGAGGGCCGTCTTAACACATGGGCACACTGGCCACATGCACAGGGTCCCACCTTTCTAGGAGCCCCATGCTGTTATATAATAATAATTGTGTCGGGGGGACAGGCAGCCAGTTTATATATGCAGTACAAGTTAGGTCTATATCGAGGTCCCTCCCCCTCCCCTAAGGCCGAATTACTGAACCCGCTCAAGATGCAACCCCATAACAAGCTGACTAACTCCTGGATACCTACTTACTGCTAGGTGAACAAAGGCACTAGGTGAAAGGAAACGCTCCCAACCGTTTCTGTCCCGACCGGGATTCGAACCTAGAATTTTCGACTGTGAGTCGAGAAGGAACCCGAGTGTACTACGGGGACCCTATATTGTTGATGAGATCTCTTGGCAGAGTGGATAATTACCCGACCTTCCGCTGGAAAGGTCTGAGTGTCAAATTATGTTTATAATGTAAATAATTTGTGCATAACTACTTGATTGTAATCCTCCACTTTAGCGGAGGGGGGAGGCATCACCAGGCCCCATAAGGGCCCGGGGCATTGCTTTACCCACAGCTTAAAATGCTGTTAGACGGCCCTGTGGGGTGACGAGAGGGGGGGTAGTAGGAGAGAGGATTGGGGACGGAGGAGGTATGATATGGTGGGGTGGGAGGGGAGGATGGAAGGGGGGGCATGAACGTGACCCTGGGGTCTACCCTCACACCTACCAGGATATGTGACAACATCAGCCTGCCCTCAATCGGAGAGAAAATATGAGAGTTGGAAACTAAGAGAGAGACAGACAGACAGACAGACAGAAGTATAAGAAGATGGGTCCATATTACCTCAGCACCCAACGAGGCAGGAACCACGACGCATCAAATTTATAGAGAAAGTTCCCACCACAAGGAGCTAAGAGAAGCGTATAATATGCTGCCGGGGACGTGGAAGTTGGAGCGTTGGTATTGGGAACTGAGTGTTAATGACCGGAATGTTGTGGTGTAGAGACTGTGGCTAGGAGGAGGCATGAAGGGGTTCTCCGGTGTAACCTGTATGGGTACATGGACCCTTACTTGTTGCTTCATACAGAACATAGTACATAGACCCATGGTTCTTGCTTCATACAGAACATAGTAAATAGACCCATGGTTCTTGCTTCATACAGAACATAGTAAATAGACCCATGGTTCTTGCTTCATACAGAACATAGTAAATAGACCCATGGTTCTTGCTTCATACAGAACATAGTAAATAGACCCATGGTTCTTGCTTCATACAGAATATAATAGACAGACTTATATTAGTGGTTTAAAATATACATAACATTGCCGTATGGAAGCGTTCCTGATATGGAGAATACAAATATATACATATAAATAAGCTCTTGTGAATTCTTTCTTGGAAGACTGCGTTTAGTGAACCCTAAGATCAGAACCTCATTATAGGAAGAGCAGCTGCTTAATGTTTGTACGGCGGAGCAAGCTGTGGTCTTAGTACCTCACACTTGTGCTCCTGTCTTGTTTGTTTGTTTGCTTTAACGTAATCTATGGTCTCAAGAACTTTTATTGTGTGTGTGTTTACTATTTGTGCCTGCAGAATCGAGCTATTAGCTCTTGGTCCCCGCCTTTGTAGCCGTCGGTTGTCTAATGTATTGACTCTCTCTCTCAACCTCTCTTCTTCTATCATATCTACCCCCCCCTCCCCCCCAACACACACACACTGTTTGATTCCTGGCAGAGGCGGAATCAAATAGTTTCTTTCACCCTGATGCATCTGTTCATCTAGCAGTAGATAGGTACCTGGGTGTTAGACAGCTGTTACGGGCTGCTTCCTGGGTGTGTGTGTGTGTATTAGAGAGAAATATATGTAGTAGATATAATAGAAGAGAAATAAATTGCTTAAAAAGGCGGGGTCCAAGAGCTAATAGCTCGATTCTGCAAGCACAAATAGTTAATACGCACACACAGAACGCGCGCGGGTGGTAGTCCTAAGGGCCCGGGTTCGAGTCCCGGCCGTGGCAGAAACAAATGGGCAGAGTTTCCTGCGTCTAATGAGTCTATTCAGTAACTAGGTACCCGGCAGTTAGATCCCTAAGTGAACAGGCTCATCAGGTGAAAAAAAACTTTGACCATTATTTTCTGTCTCGGCCGGGAATCGATCCCGGGCCGTTAGTGAGGGTGTTTATGTGCTTGCTTGGGGTCGAGGTGTTCAAGTTCAAGTTCAAGTATGTTTATTGTGATAAGCAAGACATACATCTCAAAGGGATAGAGTAGCTTAGGCTATTTCTACCCCTATGGTCGAGGTGTTGTGTTGCGTACAGGCGTAGGGGGTGAGGAAGCCCCACACCCGGCCTGCCCCCCCCCCCCCCTGCCGCGGCCTTGGCCACCTCTATCCCCCATCCTTCTCCACTTCCCCCTCCCTCCCCTCCCCCCCACCCACATGCAAGCTTTTCTTCAGCGCTTCTCCTGTCTCCTCATTCTTTACTCCCTCTGTTACTTACCATTTACTCTTCCACTCCTGATCACAACAGTTCTTCAACACGGTGAAGGAGTAGCCCACACCCCTCCCCCCCCCCCCACACTAAGTACCGCTCCCCCACACTAAGTACCGCTCCCTCCCACACTGAGTATTATCCCCCCCCACACACTAAGTACCGCTCCCCCACACATAGTACCGCTTCTCTTTCACTGAGTACCACTTCCTCCACACTGAGTACCACTCGACACACACACACACACACACACACACACACACACACACACACACACACACACACACACACACACACACACACACACACACAAACTATATATAGTCTAAACTGGAAAAGGTTCAAAGGTTTGCCACCAGACTAGTACCCGAGCTGAGAGGTATGAGCTACGAGGAGAGACTACGGGAATTAAACCTCACTTCGCTGGAAGACAGAAGAGTTAGGGGGGGCATGATCACCACATTCAAGATTCTGAAGGGAATTGATAGGGTAGATAAAGACAGGCTATTTAACACAAGGGGCACACGCACAAGGGGACACAGGTGGAAACTGAGTGCCCAAATGAGTCACAGAGATGTTAGAAAGAACTTTTTTAGTGTCAGAGTGGTTGACAAATGGAATGCATTAGGAAGTGATGTGGTGGAGGCTGACTCCATACACAGTTTGAAGTGTAGATATGATAGAGCCCAGTAGGCTCAGGAACCTGTACACCTGTTGATTGACAGTTGAGAGGCGGAACCAAAGAGCTAAAGCTCAACCCCCCACAAGCACAACTAGGTGAGTACAACTAGGTGAGTACACACACACTTGAATGACGAAGGCAGATTCGCGGTTTTTAACCTAAATATCGGACATCTCAACATCGTTGCTTCTCCGGGTGCTGAAGAAAGCATACATGACTGAACTGAATGTTGGGAGTGGTGTTGTGGGTGTGCCACAGCCACACTGAGAGCTGTCACACCTCACTTTATGTCAGCTCCTCCTGACCAGTGCCACTAGCTTTTCGAAGGTATGACCGAGTGTAGTCATACCTGACTACACTCAAACTCTTTACCGACCAACTTTGACTACCAATAAACTTGGGTCAACAGAACACCAAATGTCTGAACAAGGTTTGGTGGTGTTTTTGAACGTTGCCCCGGCGCCGGTGGGTCCCGAACAGCACTGAACACGTCTTGAAAGGCGATCGTTTAAAGACACGCTACACCAACACGTCCTGGAGCACGTTAATTACCGATACATTACTCGAACACGTCCTTGAGCACGTTAATTACCGATACATTACACCAACACGTCCTGGAGCACGTTAATTACCGATACATTACACCAACACGTCCTGGAGCACGTTAATTACCGATACATTACACCAACACGTCCTGGAGCACGTTAATTACCGATACATTACACCAACACGTCCTGGAGCACGTTAATTACCGATACATTACACCAACACGTCCTGGAGCACTTGTGAGACACAGATGGCGGGGCCGCCTTACCTTCATAATGGCGGTGGGGTGTATGACTGGGGATAGGAGGGAAGGATGACTCTTGCCACCACTTGGAGCCTCCACTTATCCCAAGCTGACTCTCACTCGCACTCTCAAGCTTGCTGGTTCGCGCCACCACACTCTCCGCGCACTGGTGCTGCTTCGCGCGCGCCCCGACAGAAACAAACGCGCCGGGCCATGCGCCTCTCCCTTATATACCGTCGCCGTGAAAGTTGGTCGTTACTCCAGGGAATCTGCGTCAGGGTCGAGGCTGGCGGGTGGGCGGCACACGTCGTGTTCAGAGCTCCCTCAGAGCCCGCCGACACCGCTCAAGCAGACTCCGGTAACACAGACGACCCCCTGGTAACATTGAGGCAACTTGTGTACAGAGACACTTGAGGACCATGGAAACATTATGTTCTTAGCCACAACGATGGCGGCATAGCAGCCGAACGATGAGCGCTTCTCAATGGAAACTTTCTCCTTTCGAAGGGTCCTGCATCCCAATAGCTGAGTGAAGGATCCTTGGCACACAGGCACCTGAGAAAAGAATCCCAAATCCCAGCAACTAAGCTGAAGAACCAGATCCCAGCAGCTGGGCTAAGGCACCAGATCCCAGTAGCTGGGCTGAGGTTGCAGATCCCAGCAGCTAGGCTAAGACACCAGATCTTAGCTGCCCAACTAAGAAAGCAGCTCCCAGCAGCTGAGTATAAGAATCCTTTATCAGTGTAGCTGCGATGAAGACCCGCCAACACTGAATCATTTTTTCAACACTGAATCACTGTTATCATTTTATTAATTCTGAGAATTTACCTACTTAAAATTATCTGTTAGATTAAGGACCTGCCCGAAACGCTGCGCGTACTAGTGGCTTTACAAGAGTGTAATTACTGTACTATGCTATGTATTCTCACAAACCCAATGTACCTTCTTGTATATAAAATAAATAAATAAATAAATAAATAAATAAATAAAAACACTACAGCTGAGAGAGGAACCCCGTCCACGCTATGAATAAACGAAAGGCTCCACATCCTTGTCCCTTCCCTTAACCCTACTGTTGGATAATGAAACCTGCATCTTGTACTCTGTGTTAAGGATCCTTCCTAAATACCGCTGAGTGAAACACCCGCACCTCTAAGCTTCTCACACATCCCAAAAGCTGAAATAAAAAGGATCGCGTCGTAACCGCGAGTGAAGGATGCTGTCGTACAGCTGAACTCCCGTATTCCTAAGTGGATGAAGGATCTCTCATCCTCACAGGTGAGTGCCACCAAAGACAGCAGAGGGGCCAGCCTGCCCCATGTAGACCAACAACGCTGCAGTAGTTAGTCTTGGTTGTTCTGCAACAAGGGTGTAGATCAATTAGTGCAAGAGGTCGCCGCTAGAGTCCTCTGGCTTGTGAACTCGTTATTGACTTGTTATCCGAAGGGACTTGATTATGCGATTGGTTTTAGGCAGAAGGCCATTCAGTCCCATTAAGATCATCGCAAGAGTTTACTGAACAATCAACAAGAAGTATACTTTAGTCCTGATAACAGTCACGGACGAATGTAAAGTCTCCGTGTATGTACACGAAGGTACTGGGTACACCTCTGTGTATATACTTCTTGTTCGATGATGTGGAGTAGAAGGGCAGAGAGGTGAAGGAAGGAAGAAAAGAGGTGGAGGAAGCAAAAAAGAGATGTGATGGATAGGGGGGAAGAGGTGGAGGAAAGGGAAGGGGGGAAGATGTGTAGGAGAGAGGAAGGGGTGGGGGGGGGGGGTAAGACGGCACCCCACCCGAGGGTACAGGAGGTAACTCTCTCTTTCGCCACGACGTTACCATAAGACTTAAGAAATTCTTCATCCCTTTTACCTATTACGTATTCCAGACGGAGCGCCGCCAGCTACCCGCGCAGGCTGGGTGTGTTCCTGGCGGTCCCTCACCCGACGGTGGTGCTCCTCCTCGAGGTCCCTCACCCGACGGTGGTGCTCCTCCTCGAGGTCCCTCACCCGATGGTGGTGCTCCTCCTCGAGGTCCCTCACCCGATGGTGGTGCTCCTCCTCGAGGTCCCTCACCCGATGGTGGTGCTCCTCCTTGAGGTCCCTCACCCGATGGTGGTGCTCCTCCTTGAGGTCCCTCACCCGACGGTGGTGCTCCTCCTTGAGGTCCCTCACCCGACGGTGGTGCTCCTCCTCGAGGTCCCTCACCCGATGGTGGTGCTCCTCCTTGAGGTCCCTCACCCGACGGTGGTGCTCCTCCTCGAGGTCCCTCACCCGACGGTGGTGCTCCTCCTCGAGGTCCCTCACCCGATGGTGGTGCTCCTCCTTGAGGTCCCTCACCCGATGGTGGTGCTCCTCCTTGAGGTCCCTCACCCGACGGTGGTGCTCCTCCTCGAGGTCCCTCACCCGACGGTGGTGCTCCTCCTCGAGGTCCCTCACCCGACGGTGGTGCTCCTCCTTGAGGTCCCTCACCCGACGGTGGTGCTCCTCCTTGAGGTCCCTCACCCGACGGTGGTGCTCCTCCTTGAGGTCCCTCACCCGACGGTGGTGCTCCACCTTGAGGTCCCTCACCCGACGGTGGTGCTCCTCCTCGAGGTCCCTCACCCGACGGTGGTGCTCCTCCTCGAGGTCCCTCACCCGATGGTGGTGCTCCACCTTGAGGTCCCTCACCCGACGGTGGTGCTCCTCCTCGAGGTCCCTCACCCGATGGTGGTGCTCCTCCTCGAGGTCCCTCACCCGATGGTGGTGCTCCTCCTTGAGGTCCCTCACCCGATGGTGGTGCTCCTCCTTGAGGTCCCTCACCCGACGGTGGTGCTCCTCCTCGAGGTCCCTCACCCGATGGTGGTGCTCCTCGAGGTCCTCCTCTTGGCGGTGGGGCTCCTGCCGACGGTGGTCTGATACAATGAGTACTGATCTATTTCTCTATCATATCTACTTTTCATATAATGAATGGAGTTCGCTTTTACAACCTGCTCTTTTAGTTCATTTTATTTTCTTACAACTTCAGCGCTAATATATAGTTCACATTTCTGTGGCTTATCTGGTTCTTAAGCTTCCATCCATACACTCTAGTTCCATTGGTATTCATTGTGAACATCTCTTTCTCCAATCTGTATATTCCGTCCCCTAAGTATTTTATACGTTTCTATCATGTCTCCTCTTATCTTTTCTAGCATCTTTAGGCCATGCTCATTTAATATGCCTTTATACGCTATCTATCGCAATTCTGGGACGAGCCGCGTTGCAAATCTCAGTATCTTGTTGCGTTTCCTTACGTGGTTCCTCAGATGGGGGCTCAGGTAGGAGGTTATCTGTATTTCTTATCTACATTCCTGAATGACGTTCTTACTTGTGTTAGTGTAGAGTATGCGGCTGACGTTATCCTGTGTTAGTGTAGAGTATGCGGCTGACGTTATCCTGTGTTAGTGTAGAGTATGCGGCTGACGTTATCCTGTGTTAGTGTAGAGTATGCGGCTGACGTTATCCTGTGTTAGTGTAGAGTATGCGGCTGACGTTATCCTGTGTTAGTGTAGAGTATGCGGCTGACGTTATCCTGTGTTAGTGTAGAGTATGCGGCTGACGTTATCCTGTGTTAGTGTAGAGTATGCGGCTGACGTTATCCTGTTGATTAATGGGGAAGTATCCAATGATGGTGGGCGGCCATGCTGGTATCCTGGCACCTGTACCCACTACCATCACTGTACACTTGCTGGTGTTGAAACCGAGCAGCCATTTCTCTGACCAACTCTGCGGGCTGTGTAAATCATCTTTAAGTATTTGACAATATTTAAATGTGTCGACTGTACTCTGTAATTTTACATTGTTTGCAAAATAGACATATATAGGATACAACTCATGTCATTAACGTAAATTAGAATAGTGTGTGTGTGGACTTAACTATTTTGAGTGTGTGTACTCATCTAGCTGTACTCACCTAGTTGTGCTTGCGGGGGTTGAACTCTGGCTCTTTCGTCCCGCCTCTCAACTGTCAATCAACTACTGTACAGATTCCTGAGCCTACTGGGCTCTATCATATCTACACTTGAAACTGTGTATGGAGTCAGCCTCCACCACCTCACTTCCAAGTGCATTTAATTTGTCAACCACTCTGACACTAAAAAAAGTTCTTTCTAATATCTCTGTCGGTCATTTGGGCACTCAGTTTCCACCTGTGTCCCCTAGTGCGTGTGCCCCTTATGTTAAATAGCCTGTCTTTATCTACCCCTATCAATTCCTTTGAGAATTTTGTATGTGGTGGTCATGTCCCCCCTAACTCTTCTGTCTTCCAGCGACGTGAGGTTTAATTCCCGTAGTCTCTCCACGTAGCCCATACCCTCAGTTCAGGTAATAATCTGGTGGCAAACCTTTGAACTTTTTCCAGTTTAGTCTTATGCTTGACTAGATATGGACTCCATGCTGGAGCTGCATACTCCAGGATTGGTCTGATTTATGTTGTATACAAAGTTCTGAATGATTCCTTACACAAGTTTCTAAAGGCCGTTCTTATGTTGGCCAACCTGGGATATGACGCTGATGTTATTCTCTTGATATGGGCTTCCGGGGACAGGTCTGGGGTGATATCAACTCCCAAGTCTCTCTCTCTGACTCTTGAAGAATTTCATCTCCCAAATGATACCTTATATCTGACCTCCGGCTCGCTACACCTATCTTCCTTACATTACATTTGCTTGGGTTAAACTCTAACAACCGTTTGTTCGACCATTCCTTCAGTTTGTCCAGGTCTTCTTGAAGCCTCAAGCAGTCTTCCTCTGTCTTAATCCTTCTCATAATTTTGGCATCGTCAGCAAACATTGAGAGGAATGAATCTGTATACCCTCTGAGGGATCATTTACGTATATCAGAAACAGGATAGGTCCGAGTACAGAACCCTGTGTGACACCACTGGTGATTTCTCGCCAATCTGAGGTCTTCCTCCTCACTATAACTCTCTGCTTCCTATTGCTTAGGTACTCCCTTATCCACTGGAGCACTTTACCAGTTACTCCTGCCTGTTTCTCCAGCCTAGATACCAGCCTCTTATGGGGTACTGTGTCAAAAACTTTCCGGCGGTCCAGGAAAATCTGCTCACCCTTCTCTTTCTTGCTTAATCTTTGTCACCTGATCGTAGAATT